AAGAGACTTTAATTCCCTACTAGACACCTATGCATTCCTATTATTATTCTATGTAATTGGAACATCATATACGTAGAACTAGGATAAGTAACTATAGACTAGAGAAGGGAGTAAAGAGAGTAGTATAGTATAGAGACGCGTATATATATATTATACTATAGTCGTGTATATAGAGTGCGCGCTAAGCTTATATTAGTAGCTAATTTTTCCTAATACTAGTGGGGTAGAGAAATCTCAAAGGGGGATAAATAAAAAATAAAAAAAAAAAAATCTACGCAAAACAAAATGCCATGACGTTTTGAAAATGGAGTGGGTAACATAGCCCGGCTTGAGGCGAGTAAAATATGTCTCGCCCATTTGGGAACGCGTAATTTACCTGAAAATGAATCCTTCAAAGCCTAGAGGTCTAAGTCCATGCGGGGTCGTAATCTATGCTCTTACTATGCGGCGTTTCCATCTCATTGTAGTCATATTTTCCTGCTCAATACTAGAAACATTAATGACCTTTCTGATTGGCTTAGATAATTCGGTCGGGTAACACTCGTTGCCCGTCTTAGATGATCTACTCACCTGGCCCACGATTGGGGTGTACTTCATCGCTAGGTCATTCTGGTGGTCCGATAACGTACCACTACGGAATGGCGGTTGATATATTCATTGGTCTCTCGGGTTAGCCATCGAATTCTAGGTCTTCTCGTAGATTTGTGGTAGCTTTCATACCGTGGAATCTGCAGGAACCCATCGCCGTGGAACGGCTGGGACACATTCCTACAGCATTTTTCGTGATGCCTTGCTTTACGACTCCGAGTCCCCATTATCGTCTGGCTGTAACCTCAGAGCGCGACAATGCTTCCATGACTTATATTACGCAAGGTACTTGAGTTCGGGAACGTACGATCTGGTTTTCATACTCCATCAAGATGCACTCTGCAAGTCGATGCATTCTGAGCCTCGTCCTTGTCATTCAAAGCTTTGGCCAACAATCTTTCGCACACGTCAATCTTGGTGCCGCTGCCCCATATGGCGGTCTAGCAAAAACGTACATCACCGACAATGGATTTACTGTCGTTCAAGGCGTGGTTGCTAGTTATCGCGCAGGCTTGATCACTAATTCTCCGCCTGGATTATATGACGGTGTCAACAACGGCAATGCTACTGCAGACAAAGCGCACCAAGATGCCAGCGCTGCTCGCTCAGCTGCGGCTGCCCTAGCTTCAACTGCCCGACTTCATGCTGACATTACTGGCGAAACTTTCCGTCATGGAGTTTATACCTCGGCAATGTCTGTGGGCTTCAGCGGCGTGCTGAGGCTTGATGGAGAGAATGACCCAAATTCACTCTTCATTTTCAAGATCGGAGCCAGTCTCACCACACAACCACAATGCCGCGTTATCCTAATCAATGGAGCGCAAGCTTGTAACGTTTTCTGATTGGTCCACTCTTCACCCTCCCTAGGCACCAGTTCTGTCTTCGCCAGTAATATCATCGCTTCGGGAGACGAGATTTCGTTGTAGAATGATGTTACAGTCAATGGTGGTCTGTATGCATTGAACGGAGCTGTCGGACTCATCAAAGATCAGATAATTGCCCAGTCGCACTGTCCCGTGCGGTCTTCTGATTATGTAAGTTCAACATTCTCTGTTCGGTCATCATCTGCCACAGCCTCCAATACGCTCACTTCAACGTCCGATGGATCCTCCTCTACCACCATCATCTCTGCGGCCATTCACTCCACTGTCGACTCCATCATCTATGACACTCTTGACACCCTCTCTTTCATACCCTCCTCGAGACTTTCCTCGACACTCTCATGAACACTCACCCTAACATCCTGGTTGTCCCTCAGATATTGGAAATTCTCTTCAACACTCTCGTTAGCATCCCGTGAACCTCTTCGAAAGTCAATTGAATAATCAAACCAACATTCTCTTTAACAATCTCATCCACAGCTTCTTCGAGAACGACATCTACGTCTCATTCCACCTTATACCCCTATGCAACACATCCACTATATCCACAATATACGTATAATCCATATAATTAGGGCGGCTAGCCTACGGTAATGCGGTAGGTATGGTACCCCTGTACGTACATGCGGCCCGCATACAAAATTACGTACGTATAGCGTTCTGGGGGAGATAGGCAGGCACGCTCCGCATAGAGCATTCGTCGAATTTTGCGCCGTACGTTCCATTGTCAGATTCACACAGTGATTTGATGAATATCGGTGATCTGGAGATGAGATGGGTTGATTGTTCTAGTGTGTTGGCCGAGGTTCTATCTAGGGCGCCCTTTCGTGTGTGGGTCTTGGCAGATAATCTATACTAGCCGTTTTCGGTCAAGTCTCGATATCCTGCCTCCGGCCTCTGCCCCAGCCATCTAATATATTGTACTATCAATCATAGTACAACACCAAGATACTTAGTACAAGCCCTCATATCTAACACACCCCCTTAGCTCAGTGCGATATCGCTCCCTGAGCTGATTGATTGGGCGATTAATCATTAGAGTACTCAGTGAAGGTAGTCCTGTATCTCATTAAGTGGTATAGTTCTTGTCACCTCTACGCTTGTTACGTCAACTAGGCCTAGTTAATTAAGTAGGCCTTGCCATTTATTAGCTAGTAGTACCTTTATAAGTCTATTGGTAATTATCTCGTCCAATCTAATATACTTAATAGTGATCGTTCTAGTAGCGACCTCTTGTCTCAGCCAGTGGGTGTGGATATCCACATATTAAAGCTTAGTCTAGAGTTTTAATACTTCCTATATGACCAG